GACTATTATTTTTGTCCAGACTTTGGTCAGGCAGTCTGACGACGTGATGGCACATTGCGTAAGAACGCGGCTTCAAACTTTGGAGGTGCCTGTTCGATTTTTGTGGTCGACAGTCTTTGACTTAGCCACGAATTCCCTTAAGCGATTAATTACCATACGTTACTTTAGACTTAAAACTTAAGTTGCTCAGTAGGTACAGTTTCGGACTTATCATAACAGAGAGGTTTCGGGTTTGAGCCCCAATCAGGGTCGCTCGTCTTCCTTCCTTCCGAGGTTGATAAGTGAATACGACTCTGAGGGAAAGAAACGAGATTCTACACGGTCTGCTTGCCACACAGCTGTGGATTCTGCCTTTTAAAAGGGCATTCGTGACTGGGAAACGGAAATCAGCACCCCAGCATCAACTTTGTGTAAGGAAGGGCACCAGAATGACCTTGTCATGAAAGGATACGGAAGACCGGTATTCCAACGATTAAAAACTTTCCTTTGCTGGTCAGCCTGATATGAACCGACTTTTACTGCTGGTTTCGTTGTTTAACATTTCTTCATGGTTATATACAAGGCTTTGGCGATTTATCTTTTGTCGATTAGCCAATTTATCCCTTTTGCTCGTATGCCAGTTTATCGTTTAAGGTTCAGTAAAATAGAGTTCACTAACCGAATGAGTGTCTCTAATGGAATCTTTGAACATCTTTAATTGCAGAGCTCGTTGCTGCACTGAAAACGAATTTTCGTATTTCTAGGTTCATGCCGAAGGTTCACAGCTGCATATAGTTACAGTATATGCTTGCATAAAAGAGAAGGATATTTTATAAGATTCAGTATTTGGTTCGTGCGTTGGAGATCATGCAGAAGCCCCATAAAACGCGCTTTATTTCTGCACAACGCAAACAATATGATCACTCGAATGATTGACAGTGCCGACATTTCTGCTGTGTTTCACGGGCCTTCTTCAAGTGAAGGAGATTCATTTCTTTTGTCGTTCGCAGCGGTCAGAACGTGTGGAACCAAAAGGCATTCTGTGAGGACTTCCAAAGCTAACCCACTTTACGTTAAAGAGCCGTGAGACTAGAATCTAAACGTGGGTACTGGTCAATCATTGGAGTGACCATATTGTTTGTTCTGTTTATAAACGAACCGTGTTTTATGCTGTTTTCGGGAGAAGGATTGCGACTAATAACTAAATGTCATGAATCAACAAAAGTTGTGCGAAATGTGATTCTTCTGAAGAATTTCAAAGATTCGAACTCGCTTCACCTCGTATCTACAAACTCTAATTTGCTTGATTCTAAATTTGCTTACCAGAAATCAACCTAATATACTGGCTTGTTGATTCTTATTGATTTTTGTTCCCATGTGTCTAAATACAACAAAGTCCCCTATTGCGTGAGGCGGCTCAGATCTCCGAAAGTTCCGCATCGATAGCAGAGGCAGTTCAGGCATTTATGTGCGCATCTTTTTTCTCCTATGCACAGACGTATGCATAATGGTCATTCTTGGCGCCCATATTCGAATGCCGTTGAATCGGTCCTTCACAGTAATGGTTATATTGATATATGCGACGAACATATAGAGTTACTCTGTATGTAGTAAATTGTAAGTGACGGTTTCAAGTGAAATTCGAACAACAGAAAGATGACGTCATTGCCTGTCATGAACCACCAGTACCGTAATGCCATTTGTGCAGTCGGGAATTCTTTTATGCGAACCTCAGCCCGAATCCTCCTTCATTTCGTTTACTTTGTTGCGGAACTCTGCGAATTATGGCGTCACAGTACGAGGTCCGCGACACCAGATTTTGCTTTAGAAAAGAAACCAACACATTAGACGTGACGCAAAAAAGACAGGGGCCGAGGTTTGGGCATAAGTACAGCAAATCTCGCCTGAAACGACAATGGCATCGATGATTCACCTCCGCCCTCGAAACTGAGTCATCAATAAAAAAAAGTCCTTTTCTGAGTCAATACAGGTCTCAACCGATCAGAACAACATCCTCCAGAGGATACAAATCGAAACAGTTTGTTAATCCATATTTATCGACTTGTCGACGTGATGTTCGGTCGTGCCGTTAGC